TTTTTTTTTGAGGCAAACACACCCCTAGTGATAGTGGTGGTGGTAAGAGCAGCCACCACTACCACGCGGGGGGAGGCTCCATCTATCGGTGGGGAGCATCACCTGCTGGAAAACGGGTCCAGCGTCCCATGTACAAGATCTGATCAGGAGAATTTCCTGAGGGGGGGGACCTTGCCAGCATTGATTGCCCTGAGGTTCAGGGGATTGACTGAGCATGGTTTCTGAAGAACTGAGACAAGCTGAGAATACACCTGCCCCGAGTTGGAGCCTCTTCACCCTTGTTGGGCGCCAGATATTCACACTACTTCCTAGCTCCCTTCTATGTGTGAACTGTTAGCTCATGCAGCTGACCTGTATATGGAATTTTAAAGGAATTTTGAAGACTGCCCTGTTGCCCTCAAGATCACCAATCCCTGCCATCCATGCCATCCATGCCCGAATGAGGAGTGTTGGGGCAGGCACTTTCCTAAATGGAAGTGGCCTGCCTGCTGCGTGCGGCCTGCCTGCATTGGGCCTTGGTCCAGAAGCTTCCAGTAGGCCCCGTGAGGCTGAGCCCCAGTCCGAACGAATCATGCCCAGGGCCTGTCATGGTTTCCTGTGCCCAACTGCTCGCAGCCTGTGTCCGGCCCATGTTGCGTATCTGGCCCAGGACCTGCCTCAGTTACATACGAAAAAGGCAGCCTGGGCCTGGGCGCACTCAACCAACTGGCGCTGCGCAACTGCCTGAAATTCCCCAGTTGCGTGCTGACCCCAAAAATGGGCCTGTAGGCCTTGGTCGAGCCTGCCTTCACTTAGGGCGGCCGACTGTACTGAAAATAGGGCCCAGTAGGGCGTATCGATGCCTTGAGCCTCGCATTCCCTCCTCCAAACTTCGACAGTCCTCTGAGAAGTCCCATTACTACAATCTGGCGCTTTCCTTTCTGCAGTGACTTCTCGTAGTGTGCGACAGCCTGTCGAGCAGTTTGCATTAGTTCCTCCCTGGTAAACCATCTGTCCTCCTTAGGATCAGTGTGATGTCTGAACCGAACGCGATACTGCAGCTTCGGCTTAAGAGGACGTCCCCTGCCTGTTGGTCTTGGAACTGGCATTTCCCTGTGGTCCACGATGTCATCGATGTCCACCTCTCCATCCATGGTTGGGGCCAGCATTGAGCGACGAGAGGGAAACTGATCAGTTTCCTCGAAAGGTGCAAGTTTGAAGGCGTGAAAGATAGGGTAAGTGCGAAGATGACCAGGGATCCGGATTACATAAGATGGCCCATCCGGATCTCCCCCAACAACATCCAGAACCTCCCATGGTCCAAAGTACTGTGGCATGAGCTTGCGGGAGATCCCATGCTCCTGTCCCAATTCTGAGGACTTTACCCAGACTCTGTCCCCTACCTGAAATGTAGAAGGGCGACGATGTTTGTTCTCAGACTCTATCATTGCCGCCTGTGCCTTATGCATCTGTTCTACTGCCTGCTGCATCAGTTGTTCATAACGATAGGCAAATTCAAGTGTACCCGGTGCAGTTGGCTGGTTGTCAGGTAGTAGAAAGTCTAGGGGCAGTCTAGGCTTGAAAGTCAGTAGCAGACTGTTAGGGCTTACCCCAGTGGCGCTGTGCACAGCGTTGTTGTACAGGCCGCCGATGAGAGCAAGTTTCTCATTCCAGTCCACCTGATTGGGCTTAATGTAGTGCCGCAACAGGTGTTGTACAACGCGGTTCAGCTGCTCTGCTTGGCCATTTGCCTCTGGGTGGTTGCCAGAAGTCATCTGCAGCTGTGTTCTCTGTTCCGCAGCTGCAGCCTTCCACAAATCACTGGTGAATCTGACATCCGTGTCACTCACAATAGACTTTGGAAGCCCAAGTCTCTGACCCAGTTCTCTTTGAACAGCTTGATCACATACTCGGTCTTAGCTGTAGCAGGCATTGCAACTAATCCAGTATACTTACTAAACCTATCCACAATGACATAGATATATCTCATTCCACTCTTGCTGGTGACCAGCGTGTCCATGAAATCCATAGACAGGCTCTCACCGGGCCTTTCCGGAATCGGAAGGGGCTTGACAAGTCCAAGAGGGGCCTGTGTACGTGGCTTGTCTCTTTGACACACCTGACAAGTCTCCACGTACAGCCTCGCATCTTTCATCATTGTGGGCCACCAGAACCGCTGCAACAGATTTGTTGCAGTCTTCCTATACCCAAAATGTTCGGTGGCATCATGACATTCGCCTAAAAATAAACTACGCAAAGACTCCCGATTTGGAACACACAAGCGTTTATTCCCGGCCTTCTCAAGGAACAACAGGCCGTTGACCAGCACAAACTCGTCAGCAGTTGCTTCATCTTTTGCCTCGAGTCTGCGTATGATCTCGGCCATAAAAGATCCTCGTGATAGGCTTCCACCAAAGACTGAGTAACATCGTCCGCAAGCCCAAATTCAGTGAACAGCGCACCCAGGAAGTCTGGCCTAAGCGACAGCGCATCAGCAACCTTGTTGTACTCCCCTTTGATGTACTGGGGGTCAAAGTCATATTGCACTATGACTTCGATCCATCGCTTCAGAGCATCGGAGAGTACCGGTTGAGTCTTCATCCACCTCAGGGTCTGATGATCAGTCCTGACTTAGAAGAAGCGACCAAGGAGGTAGTGCCTCCTGTGAGTCAACGCTTTGTAGATCGCGTAGAGTTCCTTCTCATAAGTGGACTTGGCCAACTTTTGAGAGGGCATCTTTTTGGACATGTACTCTACCGGCCTTAACTTTTTCCCCTCCTGCTGCGCAAGTACGACACCAATGCCATATTGGCTGGCATCCGTGGTCACAACAAATGGTTTGTCAGGATCGGGCAGTTTCAAGACCTCATGGTGAGTGAGGGCATGCTTCAGATGTCCGAAAGCAGCCTCACACCTGTCTGTCCACTCCCAAGGGGTGTCAAGCCGTGTCAGGTCCGTCAACGGGGCGACCACTATGCTATAGTTCTTGACAAAATTACGGTAGTAGCCGGTCATCCCCAAGAAGGACCTCATCTCAGTCACAGACCGAGGACGCGGCCAGTCACGAATGTTGGCCACCTTCGCGTCATCGGGCTTCAATCCCTCCGCGGAAATCTCATGACCCAAGTACAAGATCCGGGTGCGGCCAAACTCACACTTCTCCCCGTTGATCTTGAACTGGTGCTGTCGAAGGAGGCTAAGGACTTTGTCTAAATGGCCAACGTGCTCCTCGACAGTCCTACTGAAAATAAGTATGTCATCGAGGTACATGGTGACAAACTTATCCAAGTGGTCATGAAAGATCCGGTTCATGGCGTGCTGAAAGGTGCCAAGAGCATTGCAAAGGTCGAAAGGCATCACCATAAACTTGTACAAACCGTACCTGGTCTGAAAAGTGGTTTTGTGTTGATCCTCGGGACAGATTGCAATCTGATGGTACCCGAATTTCAGATCTATCTTACTGAAGTACCAACACCCTTGCACTCGGTCCAACAAGTCATCGATGCGCAGTAGGGGCTCTGCGTTCTTCACAGTAATGGCATTGAGGCCCCTATAGTCGATGCACATCCTCAAGGTTCCCCCCTTCTTCGGTACAAATAAAACTGGAGACCCGTAAAGAGAGACACTAGGCCGGATCCAACCCTTCTCGATGAGTTCCTTGAGCTGTCGGTGAAGCTCATCGAGCTCGCCTGGAGACATCCGATAGATCCTACCCTTCAGAATGCTAGACCCTGGCATAATCTCTATCACGTGGACGACCTCCCTCTCAACAACCCCTTTCGGCTCTTCAAATAGATCAGGGTACTTAGCGACCACTCCCTCTATCTCCGACGACATTTTCACCAGCTCGCCTACTGCAGAGACATAGACTAAGTACATACCCTCCTCTGAATTTCCCTATACTCTTAAAGAATGCAAAGGGCCCAGCGTGATGCTTCCCGCTGGGCCCAGCGAAATTCGGTGTGGAGGCGGGCGGGACTAGGGCAAGGTAAATCTGCCGCGGCGTTTCGTGGCGGGACTGCGGACGGGAGTGAGGGAAATTCGGTGTGGCGGTTCGACGCGACACGCCCCGCTCTGCAGTGTCGGGAGGACACAAAGTCCCGTTCCCTGCTGCCACGGTTTTTCTTTCAACCCCCCCATCCAGTTCTGTTTCCCGCCAGTCCATGGTGCCGGGCGGGGGCCGCGTCGATATGGAAAAGGGCGGCGATGGAAAGATGTGATGGAGGAGGGAGGATCAACGCAGGAGGAGGGAGGAGGAAGACGGAGAATGACATTTGGGGCATGTGGCACGTGTGCACTCAGAGCAGGAAGGGTGGGAGAAAGAGGGAGGATGAAGAGGGAGAAACATGCTTGGGCCGATCGAAACAAAGGAGGCAGCACGAGGAGCAGCGAGGACGAGGAGGAACAACGAAAAAGTGCAGGAGCGAGGGGACGATGAGAATGGAGGAAAGAGGAGGAGGATGGAACAAAAGGAGAAAGAGGGGCGAAAAGGAAGAGGACGATAAGCATGGCAGACAACGATAATTCATGGAGGAGGGGAGAGGTTGTAGGGAGGAGGTTGCCAGGGGGAGGAGGACAACGCGCATGGGGGAGGAGGAGGTCGGAACGAGGGGGGTGAGGAGGTCGCACAAGGAGGAGGAGGTTGTGCGAGGGGGAAGCGGACGTCGCGACAAGGAGGAGGAGGAGGTCGGAAGAGAGGTGGGAGGAGGTCATGCGAGGGGGAAGTAGACATCGCGACAAGGAGGAGGAGGAGGTCGTGCGAGGGGGATGAGGAGGTGGGTGGAGGACGCATGAGGGGAAGGAGGTCGCACAAGGATTAGGAAGACGTTGTGTGAGGGGGTGGAAGAGGTCGAGCAAGGGAGAGGTCAGAAGAGGGGAAGGAAGTCGCGCGAGGGGGAGAAGGGGGGCTCGCGAGGGGTAGGAGGACGTCGCGGGAGGAGGAGGGGTAGGAGGTGGTTGCGCGAGGGGTAAGAGGAGGTCGCGTGGGGGGGAGGAGGAGGTTGGAAGACGATGTGTGAGGGGGAGGAGCGGGTTGCGCAAGGAGGAGCAGGAGGTCGCAAGAGGGGGAGGCGCCTAGGAGGAGGTCGCACAAGGGAGAGGAGGAGGTTGAAAGAGGGGGAGGAGTGGGTCGTGCAAGGGGGAGGAGGAGGTAGTGCGAGGGAGACGAGCAGGTCGCACGAGGAGGACGAGAGGTTGCAGGAGGTCATGCGGAGGTTGGAAGGAGGTGGAAGGAGGTCGCACAAGTGGGATGAGGAGGTCGGAAGAGGACACGTGAGAGGTGAGGAGGAGGTCGTGCAAGGAGGAGGAGGAGCTGGAGGAGGTCAAAAGAGAGGTGGGAGAACATCGCGTGACGGGGAGGAGGAGGTCGGAAGGCGATGTGCAAGGGGGAAAAGCAGGTTGCACAAGGACGGGAAGGAGGTCCTGTGAAGGGGAGGAGGAAGTCGCGCGAGGGGGAGGAGGAGGTCCGAAGAGGGGGAGGAGTGGGTTGTGCACGGGGGAGGAGGAGGTCATGGGAGGGGTAGGAGCAGGTCGCATGCTGGGATGAAAGGTTGTAGGAGGTCGTGCAGGAGGGGGAGGAGGAGGTCGCCCCAGTGGGAGGGGGAGGTCATGCTAGGGGGAGGAGTTTGTGCGAGCGGGAGGAGGGGGACCACGAGGGAGGATGAGGAGGTCGCGCTTGGGAGAGGAGGTCGCACAAGGGGGAGGAAG